CCTCCCAAAGAGCACTAAGATCTTCTAATCAGATGCTCTTAGTACAACCAAGGTCTTGACTGAAGTCCAGAGGTGCTCGTGCCTTTAACACTGCAGCACCAGACTCTGAAATAACCTTCCTGTTGATATTTGTTCTTCAAGTCTATTTGGTCTTTTAAATCACGTCTTAAAACTCACTTTTTTATTTTGGCTTTTGAATCAAACTAGTTGACTATCATCTGGCTTGCTTTATATGTTTGTCACCTGTGTTGTTTGTTGGTATGTTTTGTTTGTTAATGCTTTGTCTTTATCTTTAATTGGCTTTTTGTCTGACTGTGAAGCACTTTGGTCAACACTGTTGTTGTTAAAATTTTGACTTGATTTTGATTTTATTCTATTTAATTTTGATTAATTTTGATTAATTGAAACATCTGAGGCTTTGGGACAGCCAAAATGATATTATTAAGATGACTAAAATGAGTGTCAATGCAGCTGGGACTGATAAACTGAAGATAGATAACTGCACAAGGGCGTAGATTTGGCATGGGCGGAAGGGACATGTCCCCACCAATATCCAGCAATTACTGAATTGTCCCCACCAATAATTTGATCTCTTCCAGTAAAGAAAAACAAACTCGATAGAAAGAAAAAAAAAAAACCAATCTGTCAACGTCTCATTCACCCAGCAGTGCAGAAAGAGTTAAATTACGTTTTCTACTAGAGTCCTACCTCATGTGACAAATATGGCCAATGTGATTGGCTGTGCCTTTCAGGGAGCTCTATTTAGTTTTAGCAGCGGCAAGCCTGCACTGCGAGGAAGAGAGGAGGATGGCAGCAAAAAGGAAGAACCTGGATATAAGAAATTATTTTTCAAAGAAACCTGTAAGTCACCTAAAGTCAAGCTCTAAAATGTGTCCGTCATAATAACGTTACAGGTTATACTAGGCTTTGGCCCACATCAGTCTAAAATTGTATGTAACCATGAATAACACATTGCCATGTCCACCAGGAGAGACTGGACAGTATAGATATAAAACAAACATGCCAGCAGTTTATCTCAGTTAACGAGAGGAGCAGGCATGTGTTTGGCTCCACATAGTGGACATTGAGTTGTTGTGTGGGCACCAGTAGTCCATGTATGTTGCTGTAACAGTAGTTCATGTTTACAATAAAAAATCTCAGCTCACTGATCTAATCGGGGCAATAGTGCCTAAAATGTTGCATAATTTTGCTGAGAGATCTTTTACTTTGTGGTCATCTTAGATGAGTAGTTTTATGGACAAAAACCACCAGGTCATTCAGTGTTCCCTTCGTGCTAATGTATAAGAGATGTTGGTGTAGTATAACTGAAGTGATGTTGTTAAGTCCTTAAAGTCATATTCTTTTATTGTCATGACTGTATTTGAAGGTGTTTTTATTTTTGTATGATACCTGATTTATATGGAATATGGCTGAAGTAAACTAAAGCCTAAAATACTTAGTCAGTAATTTAACATTATATAATTCACATATAAAACTATGAATTGTAATTTTAAATGGTTTAAAAGCATGTAGAATAGCATATGTAGGCAAGTATATTTCTCCTTTTTCTATCAAGAAGCAAAGACAAAAAGGAAAAAAAAAGAAACAGGATGGTTGAATCATCCATCCCCACCAATGCCAAAACCAAATCTACGTCCTTGTAACTGCATGTCATTTATATTAGCTATGGTCCATTTTACTATGTTCTGGCTTAAACCAGTGGACCAGGGACTTGAGACTTAAAAACCACAGTTATAATGGAGAATTGAAGAACATGCTGTTTAACAGGTATAATTGTGATTATAGTGAGTAGATTAATTCTACCACTACTCCTACGGTTACGTGCTAAAATATCATCTTCTTTTTAAATTAAACCGGGATTCTACAACAAACCTCTGTTCAGATATACAGAACAATATTTTTCTTTCCGGGTATTCTTTATGTGTGGTTGGAACCAAGAACTGCTGTGGCAGAAGTCCAGAAACTGTAGAAACAAACTCTTATATCAGTGATATATTTTTCATTTTTTCTTTTAACGCTAATCTGAACAGTGTCGAGCTGTTTTTACTTGCAGCTTCAGACAGTTTGCTATCAGATCATCGCTGATACTCCCATCTGAGAGTAAAAATGTTATTATGTCATATAGCAGTTGTCATTTTATACAATTCCTCATATAGAACTTTACCTTCTGAGCTAAAACAAAAATATTTTCTATATGATATCAGTAATGTTCAAGCATCAAGTTATTCAATCAATTTGTTTGTTTGTTTGAATACATTAGACAGAACACAGTGGGGAAGTTATAGTGGGATCAAAACAACAGTTCTTGTTTGAATCAGGTCAGTCAAAGGTGGTCAAAGATCAGGATCATGTGACTTCACAGATCAAATGCAGGAAATCCCGGGTTAGCCATTTTCACAAAAGAATAAAATATTAAACTGAGAACATTTCATTTTCAAATGACGGTCTGTTGCTGTAATCCTTCAAATGTTTTGGTGTTATTTGGAAAATACTGCATGCTTTGTACGCTGCCAATGTCTCATTGAAATATCACACTTTAGGTCTAACAAACTGTCATTGTCAGATGCCTTACAATATAGTTGAAACATTTACTTTTGCTTTTTAGCAAACACGTACACACAGCAGCTAAATACAAATATATGACCATGCACCAATTTACAGCAAGTATAGCAGCCTGTTCACAGTGATCATTATCCGTATTTTATTTATTGATTGGTGTTTTTAACATGTCTTTGAACTATGGAATAAACTGAAGCAGCTGGAGGAAAGTCATACAGAGAGTGAAGTGAAGAACTCTTTGCAGGAGAGTCAACTTTGTGGATTTAGTCTCTCAGACTGCTCAGAGCCATCGTCAGGAGCTAGAAGATAAAAAATACACAGTTTACAAATATTTTATCCTTTTCAAGGAGATGATTTGTAGTGATTGTTGTTTTCTGTTTGAATACATGACCCTGCTTTCCAGCTATGAAAGTGAGAGATCAGTGTTATTCAAGTGAGCAGAATATGTATCATGAAAATGATGTAGAACATTTAGCTGAAACAAACCAAAATAAAACATATCAGTTGTAATTTGTTTTGTTTTTTCATTAATTGCACAGATATCTTGTGTCCATTTCCTTTTTAATTTACTTGATTATTTTCTTCTCACGTCATCCTTCTCAGGGACTGTGATCATCTCGGTGTGGCTAATTACTTTAGAATTTATGTGTTTGTATCCAAACTGATCTGGCAGTAAGATTTCGGAGATGAATTCAAAAACTAAACTCAATAATTCCCAAATTCAGATTTCTCACCTTTCTTCTTTTTGTAAGCTACAAATGCCAAAGCTGTGATGATGGTGACAGTTAGAACAACCATTGCAGCACTGATGAAGATCACCATGTCAGTGGGCTTCTCTGTTGAACAACACATGGCAGCATTTTAGAATATTAAACGGAAACTGTGCCGATACCAAGGAATGAGTGAGGAACAACCTGATATGTGTGAAACAATAAATGACACAAAAACATTACTACTCAGTCATTGCAGTTACTCAGATATTAGTTACTCTTCTTGTGCACGCTGAAGTTGTCATGGTCCTGAGTCTGATGACCCAGCCGTTTGTGTTTGTTATTATTCTATGTTCTTGTTTTTTATGGTCATGTATTCTGTTGCTATTTAGGTTTTGGTTCTGTACTCCCTCTGTTCTTGTTCAGTCAGTTCTCTGTGTCTACATCTTTGCGTGTGTGTTGAGATTCCTGTGTTCTGTATTCAGTTTTGTCTGCTCCTACGTCTCATCTGTGTAATCAGTATCAGCCGTGTCTCCTAGCTGTTTCCTCTTGGTCCTGTTCACCTCCTGTATTTAGTGCCTGCATCTTCCCTTGCTCATCATAGTGTCGTTCCTCATTCTTCACTGTGTGTTCCGTGTGGGTTAAGTTGGGCTTAATCCAGTGTTGGGAAGGTTACTTTTAAAATGTATTCCACTACAGATTACAGAATACATGCCCCAAAATGTTTTTGTAACGTATTCCGTTACGTTACTCAATTAGCATAACGTATTCTGAATACTTTGGATTACTTAATGTATTATCATGCTTTTTACAACTACATGAATGTACTATTGCTGTGTGATTGATTACTATTACTGAAGGTTATTCGCCCTACCAATACCAACTAGAATTTTAAATCTTAATGTAAAAGCAGTAACAGAGTAACAGTAGTGTGGACATTAGGTAAGGCTGCACTTTTTGCAGCGATCTCATATAGAAAACTATTCCGTGCGTAAATAAAACAGGTCTGCGGCTCCGAACCTTAGTAAAGGGACCTCTGGCTAATACGCCGGGTTCTGTGTCAGGCTAGCTTCACTTTGTTGTCTGGGTCATCTTTGCTAGTGAGAGACAGAGAGAGGCGTTGAAAGGCTGCTCCGACAGAACTTATTGTTTCGGAGGAAAACACGAACACAGTGTACAGTCGAGTCTTAATAGCTTACTTACAACTGGGCTCGTCAGGCACTCTACATGCTTCCATCTCCCGTTTCTGGTCGGTGACAACTCTCCTTTCCCTCCCTCCCTCGCGCTCACAGACACATAACGGGTATGGCAGTCCATTCTCCCTGCAGCACGGACTACACTGCCCATGAAGCTACATTCTTTACAGTTATGCCTTTAACACTTAATTTTTTGAATATTTTTTTTACAAATATTTCTTCAGGTCATTATGCGGGCCGCAAGTAGAGGTGACATGGGCTGCGAGATTGAGACACAGACATTAGAGCATCTTAATGCGTGTTTTGTTTGGGTTTCCACCAGCGTGGAATTAAAAATAGAGAGGGCATAGCCTAATATATGAAACAGGAAAATGCCGCCATGTAATCCATTTATTTCAACAAAGTAACTGTATTCTGAATACCACCCTTTTAAACAGTAACTGTAACGGAATACAGTTACTCATATTTTGTATTTTAAATACGTAACGGCGGTACATGTACTCCATTACTCCCCAACACTGGCTAAATCATGTTTTAACCCAAACTTACACTACACTTGCATAGACTCATGTTTATGTATCAGCAGTAACAGCAAGCATGAGACGAAGAAAAGAAATGTTTAGTTAATAACTTAATAATATCAAGCTGCAGTTTTATAAACTCTCCAGTCTTACCCCAGTTGGTCCTGATCACTGTTTTGTCCAGTTTGGTGATAATGCACTCCGTCTTTCCTCCAGAACATCACGGCTCTGTCAGGATAGAAACCTGTAGCTTGGCAGCTGACTGGAGAGGAGGGAGTCTTTTGGAGTAGAGACACTGAGGGAAGGACTGTAAAGAGATTGGCAGTTGGTTACGTTTGTCCTTTAATTTTATTTTACTCTAATTTTGAAGCAAGAAACCCATATGAAATTTCTATTCTATTACATTTCATCAGATTGTGTAATTCTACTTGCTGTCTGCAGAAACCTCTTCCCATATCGCAAATACTCCTTTAAAAAGTCAGGGCACTGATAAACTAAAAAGTTTTTATTTGATTCAAATTGATGTTCATGAGCATCAAATCTCATTTTGGTGAGGACAGCGTGTGGTTTAGGAGCGATCCATGTCAGTGTCTTTAGGCCATATGCTAGAAAATCTTCTCTATCATAACCATACTGGTCATATCCATTAATCTCTCCAGTCTCATCATCCCATTCACAGCCCTTCATCCTTTGCAAAATATGAACACCTGAAAAGACAGACAGTAACTGTAACTGTGATAAACCAGTAAGATGTTAGCACAGCTTATACCTGAAACTGCACCTCTACCACAAATAAGCAATTCAAATGCAAAAAAATTTTTTAAAATAAAAAATTAAAAAACGATTTAAAGCAAATCGTTTCAGCAATATAAAGTTCAACAAATCCGTACCTTCAGTTTGGTTCAAACGTTGCCTCAAAGTCTCAATTGTACCCTTAAAGAAGTGATGACTTTCATTAGATTGTAAATTATACCACTCCAGGTGCTGTGGATGATCCTCAAAGAATTTAATCCAGTCTTTCTTTGGTGTTGCTTCTCTTACACTGTTGGAGTCACCTATCTGAATGTCATCAACAATTGCAACAGCTACAAATTCTGGGATGCTCTGAGCTCCTGGGCTTTCAGTGCAGAAATACTTCAAGGAGTGTTTTACTGTAAAATTAGAAAGACTTAGAATTAGGAGGGATCCCTTTTATATGCTTTTTTGTATCATTTAAGAAGGTTAAATATGAACTAGAATCAGTTTCAGATTTAGCATTGACTTCAAAAGTACAAGGGTGAAAAGACACTGAGAACCTACTGAATGATGAAATAATCTTAGTGTTGTGTACAATTTAATTTTTGCTAATATCTCTTCTGTAACTCTTTATTCCTATTACTCCAAACATTACCTGCACATACAGAAAATCACATTCTAAAATCCACATCTACAGAAAAATTACATTCACTGACAGTATTAATATGTCTCCTACATAGACTGACTGTGACATTTCAGGGGTGCACACATCTTCCTTTCACCACCAGTCACCTTAAGAATAGAACAGAATGCCTTCATTGTTATTGCACTAACAGACAACTGCTTTCATAATAGAAATCCTGTTAGTGGTGCAGAAGACAGTGTAAGATAAAAAGACCAAGTTTCTTGCAATTCAATTTCCTATAAACTGGGAGAAATATTTTTTAAAGTAAAACTTGAAATATGATCTTACCTGGAGATGCAACGTGGCAGCAGAGGAGTAATATAAGCACACTATTTTCACACATTTTCACATTGACGAACACAAGAAAAACAATAGACCAAAAACAACTGGGAGTGGTATCGGGACTTGTCCAAAGTCCATGTTCTGTTAGGCTGGGCCAAAGTTATGAGTCAAAAAAAAAAAAAAAAATCATTAAACAGACTGCGTGCCTCCTACAGTCTCCTGCAGAAATAATTTAATTTCTAAGTCTTATTTGTAATTATAGGATCAAACCATGGGTGATACTCAACCTGGACTGAAATTACTCTTTTTAAATTAAGGTACTTTAGATGGCCTTCTTAATTATTGAAAGCTGAGAGTCAAATATGCATTTTTGTTGAAATGGTTGCCATCGGTCTAAAATGAAAGCAGCCAGTGTACACATGTGTAAAACCTTTTAATGCCAATGTGAATTTAAAGGATGCAAACACATGCATAACATTTTTTGTCTTTAAATTTGTAATTTAAAAGTCACATTGAGCTAGTCAAGCTCATAATGCTCTCGATGGTGGAGCAGTAGAAGTTAGCAGTCTCTGGTGTAACTGGGCCTGACGCAGCTTCATGAGAAAGTACAGCCTATGTTGTGCTTTCCCTACCTGGTGGGAAATGTTTGTGGACCAGGTAAGGTCAGTCAAGATATGGACCCCGAGGAACTTGAAGCCATCTACCCTTTCTACTTCCTCTCCATTGATGTAGAGGGTGGAGTACTCTTGAAGTCGATTACCATCTCCTTGGTCTTGGCTGTGTTCAGATGCAGGTTGTTGTTGTTACACCATCACTTCAGATGCTGAACCTCCTCCCTGTAGGCTGAATCATTGTAGTTGTCAATCAGTCCTATAATGGTGGTGTTGTCAGAAAATATTATAATGTTGTTACTGGTGTGAATTGGAGACCAGTCATGGGTGAAAAGTGAGTATAAGAGGGTAGTGAGGATATACCTGTGTGGGATGCCTACATTCAGAATGAGGGTGGAGGAGGTGTGCTCTCCCCAAAACTGAAGAAGCTTCTCGGATGAGAGTCCGAGAATGTCACAGCCGAGGCCGCCTCAAAAGGGAAAGGACTCAAATGCTGGGCGCCGAACAGTACGCAAGTAGTTTCAGTGACAACGTTTATTTTCTCAGTAAGTGTTCACAATCAGGAAACTGGAATGTGAGTTTAACAAGTGCTAAATGTCACAATAACCCGAAGCCTTTCTTTTTGGCCCTAATTTTTTCTGCACCTTCTTTCCTTTTTTTGTTCTCCATTTTCTTTAGTTCGTCTATAAGATTGCTAAACAAGGGGGAGGGTGCATCCGACCTCCTCGGCTGTAATTGGTCCAGCCCAGAGTCGATCATGACCAATTGGCCAATCCAACACCTTTCATTATTTATACCCTTCCAAAAAAAAAAAATTGATCGGCCCATAAAAACAAAAAATAGCCAGCGGCCCACCGGGCAAATGCCCGGTATGCCCGATGGCCAGTCCAGCTATGGCGTTGAGGCAGGCAGGTGAGTCGGGTGAACAGCCCATGGGACTGTCAGGAGGTCCAGCGTTCAGATTGGAGCTCTTCAGCAGAGATTTGTGTCTGGCAACTTGGTGCGTGGCTATGAAAGAAAACACATGATGAGACAAGGTAGTTTTCAAGGAGTGTGCGAAATCACAGTGGTGGCCTGCACTAACTAGGGTTAGCTGAGAATCTGGTGAAGAGAGGTTGAGTGCGCCGGCCTTATGAGTCCCCGGCTTCATTACCCACAGGTGCGAGCAATCAGCAGAACACAGAGGCCCCTTCCAGGGGTGGAGATGCCGGCTCGGAGGGAGACACACTAGCACACACCCGGACCATGACAGAGAAGCTTCTTCAGTTCAGTTCAGTTCAGTTCAGTTCAGAGGGGAAACGTCTTCAAGCAGCTTAAAGCAGTCCAGACGCTTTTCCTTCCAAGCTCCTTAGACTACGATGACCTGGATGACTGAGAACCTTCACAGACAAAGTCTCCCATCCTGACATTCTGGGGTCTATCGGACACTTTTTTTTTCCATGGCTATGATTTCTATGTAACATTCATACATATTTAGTTGGCCATCTGGCCGGGGTCTGGAATGCTGGGCCTCCCTGCTGATGCAGGACCAGGGACGGTCTGCTTGTCTCCATCCCAGGACAAAGGGCAACATCTCTTGGGTATGGGGGTGGATTGCTCCTCTGAGGGTGAGGGTACCTGGACCTGGGTGTATAGAGTATGTTTGGGGACTATGAATGGGTGTACAGTGTTCATTTCTGTTTGTCTCCATGTTGGGTGAGTGCTGAGTATTTGTATATGTGTGCATGAAGGCAGGAATGCATGTTTGTGTCTGTGTGTGCCTGTTTGTTTATGTCTGTGTGTCAGGTGGGGTCTTAGATTCCACCTCTCTGGGAACATCTCAGGCCCTCCTGTGGGAAGCTCCTGCTGTGCACTGAGTTCCTGACTGTGGTCTGGGAAAGAGTACTGTAACTTTTTGTTGGTAAAATACAGTATATAATGATGAATTTTGTGCAAATTACTTTGAAGTATTAAGTCTGTGAAGGTTCTCAATCATCCAGGTCATCGTAGTCAAAGGAGCTTGCAACGAAAAGCGTCTGGACTTCAAGTAACTTAAAGAAGTCCAGACGCTTTTCGTTGCAAGCTCCTTTGACTTTGAAGTATTAACTAAAAAAAGTTACTAGTTACTTCTTCAAAAAAGTAACTGACTTTTCCAAACAACAAAATTATATGCAGCTATTTATCTAAAATGCAGCCAAGGTGGATTTTTTTTAAATAAACATTTCAAACCATTTACAGACCAATCAGGTGTTCTGCATCAAATAAGATGCCACACAAATTATTTGTGTCACTCCAAAAGATAATTTCAGCCCACTATAAGATAAGGGGGGACATTACAAGCCTGATACCTGCAGGCCTGAACGGTGTAACAGCTGTGACATTCAGCAGTAGCCTCAGTGTTCTGACATATTAAAGAAAAACTATCGACTACACTATACAACACACTAACTACACACTCCAAACACGCTAAATGTCACAACTCTCTCACATCTCAAAACTCGCTCTCTCTTGCTACGTCGCTTCAAAACATTCATTATTTTTAGGCTATTTTTCCTCAGCAAATCAGCAAACTTAAGAAATATAATTAATAAAAATAATAAAATGAACAAAAATCTTCTTTGGTCCTAACATGTTTCAGTAGTGTGCTGTGTTTGTCTGTGCAGTCTCTGGATTCAGTCTCTCAGAGATCAAGATCAAGTTCAAAGGTGTTGCCCGGAGCTGTAAGTTTCAAAACACACTGTTAGTCCTGATATTTTTGAACTGGCTTTTACATACAGTGTCACTGAAACCAAGAGCAACAAAGAAAACTACTTACATGGTTCAGTATCGCTTTCTGTAATAAAGAGAAAAAACAAATATTCCAGAATACATGATAAGTTCAGATAAGTTCACTTTTACACTCTGTACTAGACCATCAGCAGACCATGACCATCAACTCATTTGAATCACTCACTTTTCTTCTTTTTGTAATCAGCAAATCCAATAGCAGCACCGAGGATGAGAACAAGAACAACCACTGCAGCAATGATGGGGATCATCATGCTAGAAGCATTTTCTGCACAGTAAAACAGAGATGTGCAGGGGAACAGGTTAAAACCAAAGTCCATCCATCCATACATCTCCCCAAATGTGAGGCCAAAAATAAATAACCAACTTTTATTAACAGCTGTAACACTTTACATATTTGGAACCAAAGATACACAAGTATTACTATATACACGCATTTAAAAAAATAAATTTTTAGGATCCCCATTAGTAATTCCCACAGTAGCAGCTTTTCTTCTTGAGGTCAACAACAAACAAAACCAGAAAAAAAAAATTAAATATTACATTTTAGACAATCCACAGCATCAGCAAACAAAATGATTTAAATGTTTTTCCTTTCACCTTTCCTAATGTTTTCCTCTGTGTTGGTTCTGATCACTGCTTCATTCAGTTTCGTGACAATATTACTCCCCAACACTGGCTAAATCATGTTTTAACCCAAACTTACACTACACTTGCATAGACTCATGTTTATGTATCAGCAGTAACAGCAAGCATGAGACGAAGAAAAGAAATGTTTAGTTAATAACTTAATAATATCAAGCTGCAGTTTTATAAACTCTCCAGTCTTACCCCAGTTGGTCCTGATCACTGTTTTGTCCAGTTTGGTGATAATGCACTCCGTCTTTCCTCCAGAACATCACGGCTCTGTCAGGATAGAAACCTGTAGCTTGGCAGCTGACTGGAGAGGAGGGAGTCTTTTGGAGTAGAGACACTGAGGGAAGGACTGTAAAGAGATTGGCAGTTGGTTACGTTTGTCCTTTAATTTTATTTTACTCTAATTTTGAAGCAAGAAACCCATATGAAATTTCTATTCTATTACATTTCATCAGATTGTGTAATTCTACTTGCTGTCTGCAGAAACCTCTTCCCATATCGCAAATACTCCTTTTAAAAAGTCAGGGCACTGATAAACTAAAAAGTTTTTATTTGATTCAAATTGATGTTCATGAGCATCAAATCTCATTTTGGTGAGGACAGCGTGTGGTTTAGGAGCGATCCATGTCAGTGTCTTTAGGCCATATGCTAGAAAATCTTCTCTATCATAACCATACTGGTCATATCCATTAATCTCTCCAGTCTCATCATCCCATTCACAGCCCTTCATCCTTTGCAAAATATGAACACCTGAAAAGACAGACAGTAACTGTAACTGTGATAAACCAGTAAGATGTTAGCACAGCTTATACCTGAAACTGCACCTCTACCACAAATAAGCAATTCAAATGCAAAAAATTTTTTTAAAATAAAAATTAAAAAACGATTTAAAGCAAATCGTTTCAGCAATATAAAGTTCAACAAATCCATACCTTCAGTTTGGTTCAAACATTGCCTCAAAGTCTCAATTGTACCCTTAAAGAAGTGATGACTTTCATTAGATTGTAAATTATACCACTCCAGGTGCTGTGGATGATCCTCAAAGAATTTAATCCAGTCTTTCTTTGGTGTTGCTTCTCTTACACTGTTGGTTATCTGTTGGCAGGTAATCCACAAACGTAAAAACATAAAGTCCAGAAACGAATTATTGAATCATAGGGTTTTCTTTCCCCCTGGCTCCTTTCCTCAGTTAAACTACTGGAACAATGCACAACAGCAAACGTATGCCATTTTCTTCTTGGTGCCACATCCTCTCTGCTACTCAAAACAGGACTTACCAGTCTTCCTCATCCCCATTTATTTAGGAATTAACTTTCTGATTTTACACCCTGAATTATTTTCCTGTGAAAGATTTATGTTACAATACTGCCACAAACTCCACACACGTGATAATTATCTTGCTTGTTAAATTTCTCAAGTCTGTTATGTCACAAATCCACGCTCCTGTGGAACTCTCTCAGGTCTCAACCACCTGACCTTTGAAATCGCTGTTGCCATTTCCCCTTAACACATACGTGCACTGATGCCTCTACACCACAGAGCGCTCCTTTTATTTACACCTATTTCCTCAAGTCAGTTGAGCTCTACTTTTCTGCATGGATTATCTATTATATTTCACTTTCCAGCCAAAACGTCCAGTTCAGATGCAGTGTCTATTACCCTGAAAGTGATGATATCTTTAACAAACCTCCATGACTCCTGGAGGATCTGTTTCCTCATTCTGACTGAAAATTTGTTGCTTCAAAAAAGGACCATTGCCAATCAAGCTTCTAGCATTCCACCATTGGTTATATCCTTATTCCCACTCACCCAGACTTTGTCACTTCCCGATAGAGTTCTTTTTATTTATTTATTTTGTCAGATACATATAGAAACAATCAAGCCACTCATTTTCTTAACCTTTTATGAGAGGAGGTACACTGGTTTGATAAGCACTCTCATGACTACCTGCACTATCATGACTATGTCTTTTGGGAAGGTGATCTTTTGTACAGTTTGCAAATGTTACTAAAAATATTCTTGGTTGAGAGAAAAAGTTCCAGACGTAACATAGATGTGGTTTTAACACATGAGATAAGAAACAACTCATCAAGACAGTTGACAAAGTAGCAAACTTTATGCACCAAATCAAGTGTTAAATCTTTTTACATGTTTTGTTTTACAGAAACCTGTCAAATTTCTCTCTCCCACAGTCTCTTTTTTTAAGAAATACAAATTCATTTACAAAAGGAAAATAAAAAAGAAATCAACAAGTAAATGCAAAAATGTGTACTTATTTTTTTTTAAATAAATAGTTCCATAACTGAATTATGAAGGTCTGTTATGCAGCCTCAATGAGTTTCTTGTGACAAACTGTGCCAGTTCCAGGAATTCATTAATAAGTGTTAATTGTGTTGTTAACTTTTTATTTGCCACTGACATGTCACAGATTCTGCCTGAGCATACATGTTTCTCAGTTACTTTGAAATGTATTTTCAAATATTTATCAGTTTTCAGAGTTTTTAAGAAAACTTTCAACAACTGCCAGAATTGTTTTGAGGTTTTGATGCAATCTGACACCTGACTCTACAGTGACACCTACTGGCCTCTGTTATCATTGTCATATCTTGATGATGTTCCATGTAACATGAATTTTACACTCATTATCTATGAGTAGATGTTATCCAGTTTGATCTTCACACTGTCAAACATAGCTATTCCATGTCAGTGTTTTTTATTTTCAAAAGCATGTTTCTCTGATGGACAGTGGATGGACCTCAGTGTCTCTTTATGTTAGAAAACCCAACAATTCTCAGCATTGTTTAAACTAAACAATGGTCAACAGAAAACAGCAGTGTGTGTGTGTGTGATTCATAAAGAAATAGACACATAGCACCTCTTGCAATGTTTGTAATACCATTAAAAAGGAATTATTTAACTGAGAATATAACTCCATGAAGAAAACAGTTTCAACTTTAAAATTTCTAATAAATAGCAGAGTTGAAAGAAAAAAAAAATTAAAAAAATGAAATGTAAATATTTTACCTTTATTACTTTTTATTGTTGCTGTTATTATAAGCCAGGTCTCCAGTCATGAAAATATAATGAAAGAAACCAACGTGATGAAGGAGGTGGTTACGTTATTGACCGTCTCTGCTGAATAAATGAATAACCAAAATGGTGCAAGTAAATTATTTATAGACAGAACAGTTAAAATATAGTGAAACATGAAAACTGTTTGACTTGAATGACTGAACAATCCTTTGGATTAAAAAACAAAAAGAGAAAAACGGTTTTCCACAAAAAGTAAAGTTCACATAAACAAACTATTCTTCTTCTATGTGTTCGTTTAACTGAAGATTTGAACACTGTTTTCCGGGTCCAGTGTTTGTATGTGTGGATCTTGTTTCAGTTTCTCCAACAGTTCAGCAGTGTTGCCAGGCACTGTTATTTCCAAAGAAGAAAAATCACTGGTATTCTTTATAAAATACATAAACTGTATATCAGAGTAAAACAAGTTGTACTTACAAGGTGAACTTGAGTTTCTGCCTGAAATAAAAAGAAAAGCAATCATTTCAGGCATTTGTTCTACATTACAATCAAAGTTTCTGTCATATATATTCAAAAATAAAAGTGTCTAATATAAACAATACCAAAGAAATAATATAACTGAACCATGCACTGCTGGTCCTGGTTCATTGATAAACTCAGCTCCTTTGATTCTCTGACCTTTCCTCTTCTTGTAAACAGCAAATCCAACAACAGCAAAAAGGATGAGAAGAACTGGAACAACCACTGCAGCAATGATGGAGATCATCCTGTCAGAGGGATTCTCTCCTCAGTAAAAACAGACAAACAAGATTAAATCTGCAGATGAAGCAGGTTAGAATAAACATATTTACGAGTAATATTAAAATAAAGTAATATTTAAAATATCCTGGAAGAGTAGTTGTAAAACAGCTAACTGATCATTTGTTCTGTTTTGAATCTATCTGATAGTTTTCAGTTTGTTTAGGTAAATGAAGAGTAATTTGTCACATATTTGATACAAATCTCTTAAACTGACAGCATATCTTAAAAACATAGAAGCTTGCATTTGCCTGTAAAAATCTTCTAACCAGATATTTAGTCTGGATGGCTTTGCTGAAAAATCTCTGAGTCATTTTTGAACAGGATATATCCTTCAGTGTTCATATTAAATTAATATGTAGTGTGTGCAATATTTCTAAATTGAGAAACATCTCTCTGGGTGATCCTAAAAAACTAGTTCATAGATTAAATACTTCTCGGCCGGATTACTGACATTCATTATTATCAATTTCCCCTAAATATTTCCTAAAAAGCTTTAAAAAGCTACAGCGAGAATATTGACAGAGATGAGAAAGAGAAACAATATTTCTCTCATAACATACTCTCTACAGTATTTACAAGTAGAATGGGAGACAGAGCCTTCAGCTTTCCGGCCTCTCTTCTGTGGAACCAGCTCCCAGTTTGGATTCAGGAGACAGACAGACACTATCTCTGCTTTTGATAAAGCTTATAGTCAAGGCTAGATCAGGTGACTTTCTATACCTCCTTTAGTTATGCTGCTATAGGTTCAGATTGTTCTAGGAAGTCACATGATACACTGTGATGCACTGAGCATTTCCTCTTTACTCCCCATATATCACTGTAACATGTCATCACATTGTTCTCTTCTTTCTACGTTAGTCTGTGATTTATCTGCTTCATGCTCTCTTATAGCTCTTCTTTTCTCTTTCCCTCACCCTAAACCAGTCGATGCAGATAGCTGCCCCTCTCTAAGCCTGTTAAAGTGTTGCTTATAGACAGTAGTTTGATTGCTGGGGTTTTCTTCTTTTATTCTGATTTGGTGCTATGTAAATTAACCTGATTTGAAACTTTTGCAACAATGGGTTTCTTAATAATAATAATAATAACAGTAACAGTTTATATTTACAATGAAAGAGAGAAAATGATTGTAATACATAATAATTAAAAAAAATTCTTCTGTTCCTCCTGGGATTAAATATAGGACAAAAAAGTCAAGCATTATATTGGAGACAGCAAACAAAACGTTTCTCTCACCTATGACAGGTATTATTTTTCCACAGTTGGTTCTGATCACTTTTTTATCCAGTTTGGTGATGATGTCATCGCCGTCAGAGAGCTGAAACACACAGTCGTACCTGCTCCAGTCTTCTGTTGTGACTGATGAAACATTCAGATCAACACACATCTGGAAGGTCTCATCATTGTTGGGGAGGATCTCTCCCAGAGCCACACCTTCATGCAGCTCCTCTCCATCTTTCCTCCAGGACATCACGGCTCTGCCAGGATAGAAACCTGTAGCGTGACAGCTGACTGGAGAGGAGGGAGTCTTCTGGAGGAGAAACACTGATGGAAGAACTGGAGAGGGAAGATAGGAATGAGAGTGAGACAATGGTGATAGAGGGTAAGATTTCACAGTAGCATTCGAAAATAACTATGGCTAAAACTCAAGGAAAGCTGTGAAAAAGCAAAAATTAATCTGTAATTCAAAACAGACTGAGGCATTCAAGAAAAAAGAATCACAAGCTTTATAGCAGCTGCATTGTAACAATCTTTAAGCTAAATTAAACCCCAAGCACACAGATATATGGTCACTAAGTACTCAAATTTCTTTAACACATGAGTTTACTTTAAAGCAAATTCAATCCATACCTTTTCACATCACTGTTTTTGTTCAGCAGTTTGAGCAAAAGAAAAAAGAGAATGACTAAAAACCATTAGAATATGCTAAATAAACCCTACTAGTGTAGCCATGAAACTGTCATGTGATGTTTCTGGTTCCGTGTGGGAAGCTTTTCCCAGTGTTCAAGTACATCTTCAGATGCTCTGGTCAAATCTGAGTGAGGTCATTTTCTTTGTGTTTTATTGCGTTTCTATCAGCGTCCCATATCTTGTGGTGCAAGTAAAAAATAAATGACTTTAGTCTACAAAATAAATCATGTATATTTTTTTAGCTTCAGTTTCTGATTTGTGTTTGTAACTCTCTATTTTTTATAATTATTTTTTTTTGTTCTCTTCCCCACTCTGTGGGTTTACATATGTCTAATCAATGTTCCCCATATGCTTTGTGTGCGTAAATAAAGAGCCAACAATAGCCAATAAACTTTTTGTGATTGTACCTTTTTTCTGTGAGAAACCTTTCTTATGGTCCACATACATCTTCAGATACGCTGGACAAATGTTTGTGAGGTCATTTTCTTTGTGTTTTATTCTGAGTCGATCAGTATCCCATTTCTGTTTGGTAATGACAGCCTCTGGTTTCAGTGCGATCCATGTCAGTGTCTTCAGATCAAAATCCATAAAGGCTTCTCCGTTATAACCATACAGTAACACACCAGTCACTTCTCCAGTGTTTTCATCCCATTCACAGCCTTCTATCATCTGTAAAATGTGCACAGCTGAAGGGACAAACATAAAATAAGATATTGCAGTGAATCTGCAAGATTTGTGTTGTGCTTATTGTTCAAGTCAGGTACTCTGTCAACCTTTTATTTAACCTAACCAGAGTACTACAGTATGTTAAAGTAGGTCTAACTATTGAAGATTGCAAGAGAAGAAGCATAATCTAATTCAATAAAGGTGTCATCTGAAAGAGGTCATAATCAGAAAAACCTTTTTAAAACTTTTTAAAGGAAATTTTTAAATCTAACCTCATTTTAAAGCAGGAAGCACAAAATGTAGTTTTTTTTTTCATCAGTCAGTTTCTATGATTTATAATGATCTGAGATTAGAAATAACAGAAAATACTACACCATCACCTTGGTTGAACTGCTGCTTCAAGCTAAAAATCGTGTCTTTGAAAAGTTTTGGTTGATCCTCAAAACACTTCTTGTTGTACCAGTCCCGCTGCTGAGTGTTGTTTTCTAATAGTTTCTTCGCCCAGTCCTGCTGTGGTTGTAATGTCTTGCTGCTGCTGTCACAGTAACCAGTCTGGATCCCATCAACCATTAGTACACCCACAAAATCTGGGATGATTGGAATGCCATAGGATCCGGTGACCAAATTCTTCAGTGAGTGTTTCACTGTGGGACAAGTATGAGTCAAGAAGTAAATAAAGCATGCAAACATTCTCAGAAATATTAAACATTCAGTCTTCTTTTAGCTGCTTTCTTTGTGTTTGTCACAGCAGGCTGATCTGCTTCCATCTCACTCTGCCCCTGCCATTCTTTGCTCTCAATGCTCTGCATGTACTAACTCCTCTGCATGTGTTGGTGTTCCTTTACTGCCATAATAATGTTGGTAATTGCAACTGACTTATCACGTTAGCTTGGTAATGTGGGAAAAACATAAAAAACAACGGCTTTGTTTACATAAAACTCTCTTCTGGGAAAAACGATAAGCATTTCAATCGTTTTATTTATTACTTTTTGCAATATAATATCTATATTATCAAGTTAGGTTTGCTGTTAGCCAAATTTACTTTGCTCATATTGGTTTGCTAGTGATAGTTTTCAACAACATTAGTTTCTACTACCTGAATAATCAGACAACGTTACTGGGCAGTTGCAATGCTGATCCTGGACCAGCAGTCTTCTGATGATAGGAAGAAACCGACAGAGGAATATCAGATCGTGCAACTCCCAACTTCAGCTGTAACCTCCAGTCTCCCTCCTGTCTTCTCCAAACCATCAATCACAGCTGGTCTTACTTACTCTCCATCTTGTAAACCTTTCCCTTTCACTCGTGCTGCCATTTTTCTGTCGCCTTCACTCACTCTCGCCCGCCTTTCACTTCTTTTACGCAAATATGATCCAGTCCGTATAATTTCTTATTTAATTTACAGTGTGGTCAATACCAGAGGTTACAGGACTGTGTAGCGTTATTTTTATTTTCATAAAGAGCTACGATCTGGCTTATCTATATTGGATGTGTCTGTCACAGCACTGACTGAAAATGATGAAGAATGACCAACATCGATCTAAAATAAATGTCTGTAAACGAATTAAAACATTATCAATATTCAATATTTAAAAATGTCTTCAATAGGCTACATCAGACATGAAATGTACAATAATGAGAGTTGCAAACGTTTCACAACAACGAAATTAAAAAAAAAAAAAAACGAAAGAAAAAATCGAAACAGGCTGCTGAGGTCAAACTGAGATTAAAGATTTTAAAGTTTTTTTTTCCTCACCCGCAAATAAACCCGAACAGAAGAGAAGCAACGAAAATATCTCCATATGGACTTTATCCTTCATGTTGCGGAAGTATATTGAGGCTTAGGAGCGCGTGCTCTGAAATCTAGGAAGTGGTAGAGTGACGTATTTTCAACAGCTTAATGGATTCCCGCAAAATTGGAGAAGGGTCTGCAGCCAGGTGCTCTTGAAGACTAGCGCCCAGTGTTAAAAAAGACAGAATGTGTTTTCCTTTTTTTTTTTTTTTTTTTTTTTTAAACGGTAACGTTTAAAACATTCTCACGTGCTAATTCTGACCAATCGTAGCAGTCCATTTCACTCTCGTTGATCAGCACAATTTTAACCCTTTCACGCATAGTGGTCACTACAGTGGACAGCTATTCATAGGCTGTTTTCTTGTATTTGTATCAGTGTTGATGGTATACTTGCACATAAACACAACACAGTGTATATTATTCATTCGTTTGTCAAAATCATAAGTCAAAACGTATGTTGTCCATTTAAGTGGACATGTAAAAACATGAAAAGTACATGTTTAAAAAAAATCAAGTTCAAAAATCTTTTTTTCATGCCTAATGATGAATAAAAATACTTATGAAAAAAAACTGATTAAGGTTGTCATAATTCATGCATGAAAGGGTTAAATCACTCTCTGCTGAGCAACCTCTGAACCATGGTCAAACTTTGTATACACTGTCAGTGGGATTTTTTTTAATGAACTTTATTGAACAAACAATGAGTACAAAACATACAAACAGATGAAGTATACAAAAGAAAAGGACATGAACACACAAAACCAGGGGTAAAGAAATAATTATATGAATACATGCAAAAATTCACATATTTGTATTGTTTTGAGGGCCTTTTTGTTGGTGGAGTCTGATATTGATTTTATGTACAATTCCACATCCTTTAGAAAACGACAGCAATATGATGTTTTATCAGAAAACTTACATTTATGGATAAAACATTTAGCTAAAAGTATTAACAAATTTATTAAAAAAACATTTATCGCTCTTCTTGGGGAACTTAAAGAAACAGAATAAAACATTTTCTCATCGTAAACTCCCTTAAAATATGGACAAAAACAAACCTGCTAAATTCCTTCCAGAATCTCTGTCTAGAAGAACAGTACGAAAAAAGATGTGTCACAGTTTCTGGATGATCCCCACTGAAAGTGCAATTATTATTTATGTCTCTTTTAAATTTTACAATGTGGTGACTGGCTGGATAACATTTATGAAGAGTTTTAAATTAAACTTCCTTCACCTTATTTACAGTTAGATATTTATGGGGGATCATCCAGACTGTTTTCCAGTTGATATCCGAAACATATCGATTTCAGTACGATATTATATATGGGAGAGAAACGATATCTTCTTGGAATAAACTACATATTCTCTTATTGTTCCTGGGAAAAGCAGATTTTTCCCACTGCTGACTCAGCTGGATCGGGGAGAGCGACTGAGGTAGATATTGAGCTGTCAGTGTTTTTATATAACATTAAAGTATCTGAGGAAATGACACCAAGCACCACTGAGAATTCCACTGACTGGAAAATGATATAGTGCAAGGAATTTGTTGTATGTAAGTAATTGTCCCTCTTTATTAACAAGCTGAGCCACCAATAGGATCCCATTTTGGACCCAAGTTTCTCCTCCCGGTGGGACAACAATAATTAGACAACAATGCAAACAGAATTTGTAAATGTGAACAATTAATAACACCTTCAGAAAGACACAAGAATGTTCATTAAACTGCCTAGACTAGCATAACAATGCTGGCCACCACACAGAAGGAAATGTCCAGTGCACCGTAAGGCTCAGAATCACTAGTTAAATTGGCTGCTGTGTTGCTTAAGCTGGAAGAGCAACGAGTGATTGTGATTAACTTCACAAGGTGTCACTGATAGGCTTCCCAACAATAGTACTTGTTATTTCGTTATACAATACTGACTAATTGAACTAATTGAAATACATCCATCCATTCTTTTCCACTTATCCTTGTAACAACCACCCCTGTCTTGTTGTTTTCATGCTAATCTCTTCTTTATCTTTCCTGCTTGTTTGGTGTCACGGGTCATAAGTTTGACACCCCTGGTATAAACTGTGAACCTGAAATTTAAACTGGATTCATTTTAAGAATACTAATAACATTGATAGCTTGCATTTTTGGAATAAAAAAACAGTTATAACTTTATATATACAAGCACTGAATTTGTTTCTTCTTGTCTATTAGAATCTCCATTAGTTATTCAGTAGTAACAGCTGCAATTCTTGGATTCCAAACCAAAACTTTGGTGAGAATGTTCTTCTTGAAATCAGAGACCTGAAACACACACTCGTATCTGCTCCAGTCTTCTGGTCTAACTGATAAAACATTCAGATCAACACTCATCTGGAAGGTCCCATCATTGTTGGGGAGGATCTCTCTGTGGGGCACAACTTCATCGATCTCCTTTCCATCTTTCCTCCAGAACATCACGGCTCTGTCTGGGTAGAAACCTGTAGCGTGGCAGCTGACTGGAGAGGAGAAAGTCCTCTGGAGGAGAGACACTGAAGGAGGAACTGGAGAGTGGGAGGGTGGGAAAGTCAGAGAGTGAGAATGGATGAAAGAAATAATAATGAGAAAGGAAAAACAGGTAAAGAAAGAAGATGAGAATAAACAAGAAATTCAATAAAGAGAAAAAGAAACACTGCCAGCGAAACAAGTGTTAGATGAAAAACATGGCTGCAGCAGTAGAAAATAACTGACATGAACTGTGAAGATGTGAAAATCAAAACTAAATCTGTAATTCAAAACAGAGTGAGTGTCACCAGCTTATTAGCAGCTGGATACGGATGCATCATGGCACAATCTAAACTAAATGCAACTTTAGAAACACAGATATATTATCAGTAACTACTGCACGAATGGAAATGTTGAACTCATGAATGCACTAAATGAAAACACATGGGTTCAGTTCATGTAAAATCATTCTTTTAATCACAAACATTAATATAAAATCATGTAAATCCATCCATCCACCAGCAGCTGAAGCTAAAAGAAAAGTTGGAGAATACACTGTTTGGAAAACGCTGAAGAACTCTTTCAGTTCCTCTCCTTACGGGCACAACAGCAGATTATCTACCTCAGTCTCACCTCTCTGTCACACCAACCCTCTGCTTGTCCTTCACTACATCCATGAGGCTCCTCTTCTCCTCCGGCCTGGCACCTTCACATTTAACATCCTTCATCTTAAAATATCCTCTATCCGTCCGGTGCACACGTCCAAACCATTTCAGCTTCGCCTCTTTAGCTTCATCTCCAAACCGCCCTGCCTGAGCTGAGGGATTCATTTTTAATTTTGTCCATTCTGAACATCTTAACATCTTCAGCTCTGCCTCCTGTCTTTTCGTTAATGCCACTGTCTCCAAACCATACCTCATAGCCTGTCTCACTGCCAGTTTGTAAACCTTCTCTTTCAGTCTTGCTGAATGCTCCTGACACTCGTCTCCACCCACTCCACTCTGCCTCTTTCTACCTGCCTCCCACTCATTCACACGTGTATATTCTCTCGTGCTTTAACAGAGTTTCATTCCTCTTTTCCTCAGAGCACACCTCCACCTCTCCAGGCTCTCTTCCACTTGCTCTCACTACAGATCACAACATTATTTGCAAATATCACAACCCACAGAGACTCCTGCCTGCTTCCATCTGTCATATGATCTATTGTACACTCTATCTGGATCCACAAAGACACAACTCGTTCTGAGCTTCTTCTTCTTCTTCTTCTTCTTCTTCTGGCTTTACTTTTCCTCCCTGGTTTCACATGTGTCCAATCAGCTCTGTGTGTGCATGCAGCCGTGTCTCTTCCTCTGACAGTTGTCAGTTTGTCTGTTTTGACTTTGATTTGACCCAGTAGTCGACTCCATAGTCTTTGTTCTTTTCTAGATTCTTTTTTTGGCAGCAGTTTGTTCTGATCAGCTTTCATCAGAGCTCCTGTTTTCTCAATTCAAGTCTGCATTTGAGTTTGTTTTTTTGTTTCTTTTGTTGAAGCTTGACATTTTGCTGCCCATGCAAATAACTGATTATCAGTTATGAATATCTAACTTTTTCAGAGAGGCCCCTTACCTACAAATAAAGGATAAAAACTACCCAATGGATTGATATCCATAGACTTAGTGTAGAACTATAAAGAATATATGTTATAATGTTAAAACTGGAGAAAACCACGAGCGTCCATAATGCTGTGTGTGCTGGTCACCTGGTCTTGATTATTAGAACACTATAAGTAACAGTGCACCACAAATTTCTGTTTCCTTATTTGTGTCTTGTGTCAAACTTACTGATAGAAATGTGAAACTATAATTGTCCATAAAATGTAGCAGTACAGCAGTGTTTGCACACAGCTTCTTTCATTCACCTTCAAAATCATTAAATACAAAATTAGCCTCAAAGATTTGTCCTTTAAAAGATAACTGTGTTGTTAGAAAGATAACTCAAAATAAAATAAACACCACTGCATTCATGAGGTCATGTGATTCTACCTGTTCTCTGCAGGGAGCTGTTCCCACAGTCCAAAAACATCTTCAGCCGCTCTGGACAGATGTCAGTGAGGAAAACTTCATTTAGCTTTGTTTTATTACTGTCAGCATCCCAGCTCTGTTTGGTAGCGTCAGCCTTCAGTGAAGCCCATGACAGTGTCTTCAGATCCGGTTCAATAAAGCCATACTTCAAGAAGCCAGACTTCTCTCCAGTGCTTTCCTCATATTCACAGCCACTTCTAATCTGTAAGATGCAAAAACGTGGAACGAGAGAGAGAGAATGAACTATGATACATATATTAATCTAAAAGACTAAAATTTTGAACAATTCTGTAAACGCATTGTTTTGTCATGCTTTTTAAGAGATGTTGATATTAGTAAAGTCTGATCATTCCTGATCTCATCTGAGAAGCACAACATTAGAACTTTAAATCTTTAACAACTAGCAAAATAGTTTTCCTTAGGTGTATCTCATGGTTTATAATAATCAGACAGAAGGTATATAAGAAGAAATAACCACATACCGTAACCTTCACTATGGTTGAACTGCTGTTTCAAACTAATAATCCGCGCTCTGTAGGCGCTTGGCTGAATGTTAAAGCACTCACATTTGTACCACTCCAAGTAAACTGCCTCGACGCCATCAACCACAGCAACACCCACAAACTGTGTGACGTTTGGGACTCCAGCAGATCCAGTGAAGTGATTTATCGG